GATTCAGAAAATATATATATATATATAGGTAAAGCTTATGGGCACCGTAAAAGGCCTTTTAATAAAATATATATAGAAACGTTATCAACAAGTATTAACAGTAATAGTGTTGAAGAACTTTCATTGTCAACAGATAAATTGCCTTTTTTGCAGAACACATCGTCTGTTCAATTAAATCTGTTTCAATATTATAGTGGACAGTTGTTCAATCATGATGTTTTAAAATGGAGATACATTAATGAAGCTATGCATATAGTTCTAATGAATGACTATGATTCGAACACTGGTGATTTCTTAGTAAGTAACTTTAATATTCTTATTAATAGTTTTTTTTTACATATTTATGTCAATACAAAATTTGTATTTTCTGTATTTTTTTAATTTTGAGAGATATTTTCTATTCATTGTATGCACTGAATAAAAATTTTTTTTTTTATATTATTTGTTTTTTAGTGTAATGACTTCATTCATATAAGTGTGTATAATTCAACTTTATCTCCAATATATAATTGTTCTTGCAAAATATTTTCTGTTTCAAGCGGCAATTTAGATGATGCTGTTGTAGGTTTTTGTCTACATGTTTGCTTGTTAAAAAGTCTTCTCTCTGTTTTGGATTCAAAGCCAGTTTTAAGTGATACACATTACATTAATGTTTCTGTAGTAAACAAAGGGCTCAAGTTTTCTTCTATTTCAGTAATTGAATTACCGTCGCGACTTAATGTCAATAAGTTTTGGCAAACCAATCTGTGGCAATTGTAACTGTGTATAAAGTTTCAGGTAGTAACAAGAGAGTCATTCAATGGCACAACTCATTATGTATGATTAATGAGCTCTTAAATACTTAACAAGTGATTCTGAAGTTTGTTGTCATCTAATCAAATTTAGAGAATGCTGGGATTTAAGTTCTATTAGTGGCAACTTAAATGATGATTTTGATGATTACATTTTACCAATGGATGGTATTGAACTTCCTGACCAAAAGGTAAGATTTCTTATGGATTTTACTTTCTTTTTTTGTTTAAAGGCCAAGGGGGCCACTGCAGTCGAGGAGAATAGTTACTCTCTTTTTTTCCTTTTTTTTTTTAATATTGTAGATACAACCCTTTTTTAACTCTTCAACTACAAAACATAAATTTTGACAAGGTCGCTGCATGAAGAAACAAGTTGAATTGAAACCATTTCAACAACTTTAACCATTAAAAAGGTTTTAATAATCTGATTGAATAAAGGGAAATCACTAACATACAAATGCTACATATCACCTACAGCCAAAAAGTCATCTAAATTCATTAGGTTTAGTTTTTAAATCAAACTAAATTCATTAGTTTTAGTTTGATAATGGATTATGTTATAGGTATAAGCATAAATATTAATTCCTGATAGAACCAATATGTTACTTTTAGACCTGGTCATTTTGGTACTTTAATAAATAGGTTCTAAGTATAAAACAAAATTATGTGTTAACAAATTTTAAGTATAAAGTTATTTAATATAAATTTTGTATAAAATTTAAGTTAAAATAAAAATGTCTATAAAATAAAAATTCTTCAAATAATAAATCTTCAAACGTTTAACTATCAACTAAACTTTTAAACTTCAAAAATAAATTTACTTTTAAAGTAATAATTTTAATTAAAATCATTGCATTAAAGTAAATAACTAACGTACAAATTAACTTGTTAAAAGTTTTTTGAAGTAAAAGGCTAAGTTTAAAATAACTGTTTTGATCATTTTAATTAATTTTTTTAAAGAATTCAATAATATAATAATAATATAATAAAAAAATGCTCATAATTGGTATGTTATAATCTCTTAATTAGTACTTTACAAAACATTCATTCATTACAATGACTTCGCAATTGACAACAAAAAGTTACAAGTAAAATTTAAAAAAAAAATACAGTTGAAATATTAAAGGCAAAGTATGGTTGAAAGAAAAAATGTTTTTAGTTAAAACACTTTATTATAGTTTAAATTAAAATCATTTTTTTTTTATAGTTATAAAAAAAAATGATTTTAATTTTTTTTATAATGATTGTGGTAAAAATTACAGTTGAAATATTAAAGGCAAAGTATGGTTAAAAGTAAAAATGTTTTTAGTTAAAACACTTTATTATAGTTTAAATTAAAATCATTTTTTTTTATAGTTATAAAAAAAAAAATGATTTTAAAGAAGATAAAAAAAAAGTTTTAGTTTTAGTCATATATAATATGCATCAATAGCGCAAGTATACATATCATAAACACTAAAAATATTTTTGATGGTTAAAAGTTTTAATGAATTTATGTGTAGAATTCAATAAAATTTTCTGAAATTTCAATATATGTATTTTTGAAGTAGATCTTAAGCAAAGTTCTGATATTATTCAAACCATCAACATTGACTGACAAGAATTCATTTATGGAAATCAAAATAGCAGTTTTAGTCATTCCTGGCAGTCTGTGTTGACTGCCCATTATTTTCTTCTGTAATTAATGACAGTCAAATTAATAGCTCAAGTATAAAATTATAGGTTTTAAAATGCGCCTTAGTTGTGATAAAGATGGCTCATCTAGGAAATAAAAAAACTTAGATAAAAAATATACACTTTAATCTGGTTAAGGGTAGAAGCATTTTTTAATCTTTTGATAGTAATCTTCCTAGTGATGTTGTCATGGTAAAAATAACGGTAAACTGAATGTGAGCTCAAATTTAAGGCGATCCAGGGATTCATTGTGTAATATGATTTTATTATTTTATTTTTTTCATACTTTTATTATGTTACATTTTGGTTTGTTACATTATGTGTTTTACATTGTTGCATTATTGCAAAAAATAGTATTGCCTTAACTTTCTTTGATAGGGCCCCCCTGAGTTCCTTAATCCAAGCTTAATGTAAAACAATTTGTTGCAAATTTGCAATATTGCAACAAGAAATTTCAAAACAAATTTTAAATATTGCAAAGAAATATTTTTGTACTATTGCACTATTATTTTTTACTGTTCAATTTTACAATTTTATCTTCTAAAATGAATTTTTTATCTAGTGGATTGATGTATTTGATGAAGTTACTGGTCTTTGGAAATTTGGGATAAATAATCCCAGTAAACAAAAAGTTGATCAAGACCCATTTTCACCACAATTTTTTTTTTTATTATTATTATTTTAGTTCACCTCTTCAAGGCCGAGAAGGCCACTACAGACGAGGAGGCTACTTATTTGTGGCTATAACCCTCTCTCAACTCTATAACTCCGAAGCACGAACCTTGACGAACAAGGCCGCTGCGCGGAGAAACAAGTTGAGCGCGGTACTTCCAGGGACGTGGTGGGGATCGAACTCGGAACCACTCGTTTATGAAGCGAGCGCTCTACCACTACACCACTACCGCAGTTAGTGGAACAACTAAATATACGAAGCAGATGGATACATAATCAATCAGTTTATCCATTTTTGGATGGCATTTGTGAATGTGTGGTAGGTTTCTTCTTATATTACTGCTGTATTACTAATGATATCCCTGTATTTCTTTTTTGTGTGTGATTTTTATCTATAATTTTTTAGAAAAGACCATGGTATTACATTTTACAATGAATTATATTTAGGCTGGATGGACTAACAATACTTACCCAGAAGGAAGATTTTTTCCCAATGGAACATCCAGTTTATATACTGACAGAGGTGTTATATTGTTACAGGTTTTTCTTCTACGTTGTGTCAATTTGTCATGTGTTAGGTTTTGGGACGGTGCAGAACATTGTGTATATCGATTGTCTTCATCTACATGTGCTGGTTATGACATTGGTTGGGACTTTGTTGATTCAGTTCAAACCAGTGGTCAAACTTTTAGTGGTTTTGTTACCAATATGTCCAATAGATACAAGCGTATGAATAATGCAGTATCGTTTATGTCTAATTCTGTTTTTATTGATTGGTTTTTTGGATGGGCTTCTCACATGGGGATTGACTTCCGAGAACAATGTACAATGTGCGGAAACAGCAATCATATTTTAGCATGTGATGGAACAAAACTTGGCATTGGCTTTAAACAAACATTTGTAAAAGCTATAGAAACTCCTGAGATTGATGAAGTTCCAGAAACAACATTCCGTAGGTTTGATCGTTGCTTCATCCCTAACACTAAAGAGAAAGACCCTAAAGATTTTGCACATGCAAGGAAAGTTATCCGTACTATTTGTGAAATAATAAAGAATTGTGATGATGTTGATAATGTATCATTTTTAGCAAGTTCTATAGATTTTTTTATACCTCTCTTTGCTAAGGCTGCTTTCAACAGGATGGTTATTGGGAAAGAGTGTACTCTGCAAGAAAGAAGAGCAGATTTCTTTTCGTTACTTGGAACTGATGCATCAATGGACTCCTTAATTCCATTTAGATTCTGTTCAGATGTATCATCTTTTATGATGTTGGTGCTGGAAAATACTGTTTCAATTGAGGAGCTGAATAGTTTTGTGCATGAATCAAAATATTATTGCCCAGAATTGTCATGCCTTGTGTTTACTTCTTTTAATAATATTTCTAATATAAAGCCATGTTATGATGTAGCCATGCTTGTTGACTATATTGCAAAAGCAATAATTAACATCCATACTTTCAATGAACCTAGTGCAGATGCAAACATAATTGATAACTCGTATAATTCAGCAAAATTTGGTCGCGCATATTACTTTACCCCACACGGATGTCAAATTCGAAGAATGCGTCATTTTACTATAGATAAAGAAGATCATAAAAAATCTGTTTTTGATGACCATCCTGATGTCAACTGTGATAAACAATTTGCTTCTGTTTCAAAGAAAGGAACAACTTATGCTTTTTTTTGGTTCTGTCCTGTTCATGGGCATTGTTATGGTTTTCATGTAATACCAGGTAGCGAAGGTCGAAAAGACCCTGCTGCATCACTATATACCCATTGTCCAGAAGCCCCAAATGATTTATTTTATGACTTTGCCTGCAATTTGTCAGAATATTGCATATATCGCATAAAAAATATCGCATAAAAAACCTTTTTATGCGTATGTATTTATATATATAATATATATATATATATATATATATATATATATATATATATATATATATATATATATATATATATATATAAATACATACGCATAAAAAGGTTTTTTATGCGTATTTATATATATATAATATATATATATATATATATATATATATATATATATATATATATATATATATATATATATATATATATATAAATACATACGCATAAAAAGGTTTTTTTTATGTATGCAAGTATCGCTAATATAAGTATGCCAGCTGGTTGATACAAAAGCTCTTGGATACATTTTTCTTTATTTTCATATCAGCTAATCTAGATTTTCATATCAGATAGTTTTAAAAGAATTATTATATTATATAATTATTTTTAATATATTATAGGACTGCTTGTTTTTTTGAAACACGTAATTAAAGCATTTTGAAAAACGGCTGCAGTATATCAAAAACAAAGAAAAGAAGCGATTTAAATAAAAACTTTAGAAGATTGCTCATAATGAAACAAGTTGATTAATTAAAATTAAACATATATAAAGTAGAAAATTAATCCTGCTTTAAATGTAACTCCCAGCAAAAATAGAAAGTTTATTTTGATTAAAATTTTTATTGCAGAATGTAAGGACTTTTTTTTTTTTCCGCACCTAAATTCCCAATTTCGCAAAAACGCTGTATGAAACTTTTTCCTGGGTAACACCTTGTGTATATATATATATATATATATATATATATATATATATATATATATATATATATATATATATATATATATATATATATATATATATATATATATATATATATATATATATATATATATATATATATATATATATATATATATATATATATATAGCATCCTAGTTTGTGATGTTCAGGGACATGATATATATATATATATATATATATATATATATATATATATATATATATATATATATATATATATATATATGTTTAAAAAATTATTTAAATTTAAATTTTTTATTTAAAACTATATTTTAAAAAATTATTTAAATTTAAATTTTTTATTTAAAACTATATTTAAATGAAAGAACTTTTAGATACTTTTAGGCAATATTTTAATCACGCAAATATAAAAAATAAAATACTCAACAATAATATATACACATATTTAATAATTTTAATCTTATCTGTTTAATGTAAACACATCTTAAAATTTGTTTATTAAAAATTCAGTTCGAAACTAATTGAGCACTTAGTCAAATGCATTAGCAAAAACCAGGAATATGACATCAACTGGTAGTTTTCTGGCCATATTATCAGTCAAGAAGTCCACTTTTTCAAGGAGACTTTTAATGCAATAATTAATAATAATGCATACTTTTTTCTCTAAGGAGCCATGTTGACTATTGATAAAAGATAATTTGATTTTAGATACTGCATGGTTGCTTTCTTTAATAGTTTCTCCATTATTTTACATGGTTTTAAGGTGAGGAATATTGGTCTGTAGTTTATTCAATTCTGGAGCCCTTCTTAAATAAAGGTGATACATCAGCTTTGGACCATGAGCTTTGAGTTTCACTATGTCAAATGAATTTTAAAAGATGAGGTTAAATGAAGTAGACATTGAAATAGAACAAGCGTGTAAAACGTTAGGGCTAAAATTGTCTATACCAAGTGATTCAGGTATATCAAGTGATGAGAGTTCCATTAGATTGACCTCAGTTTCAAATGCTATGTTTTTGAGGATTATGTTAGTTCTACAATCAAAGTGAGAAGGATTGTCATTAGTTCGCCCATTGTTGTAATAAATTTTTTTTATGCATCTTATTCAAAGATATATATATTTTTTAATCAATTTTATTAAAAGATATATAGAACTATTAAATTATCAATAATAGAGGCTGAGAGTGGTAATTATACAGATAAAATGTTGGTTTTTTTTTGCATATTATAACCTTTTTGACCATTGTTCCATTTTTGCAATTAGGCGAAAGGTAATAAAAAATTTAATATATAATAACTTAGTTAATAATTTTAATATATAATAACTTAATTAATTAATAATTTTAATGCATGTTTATATGAATTACTATAGTTTATAATGTAAAGGATATCTTATTGGCAAATAACAGAAAAAATAATCGATGATAACAAGGTGTTAGTCAGCAAAATGGCATCACATATATTGTGTAATTCCTAATGGGTTTAAAATTCTTAAAATTTAACAACTTTTTTTATTTTTGTAGTAAAATTATTTAGGACAATAACCAATAAATGTATCCAATATCGCAAATAAGTGGTAAAAATATTTTTCTGGCTAACACCCTTGATAAATTTATTCTAATTAATACAGCCCTGTAACTAGGTATTTATATACAGGTAGACACTCTATAATTACTTGTCTAAGTAATACAACAAAATATTTATTAAATGTATTTTTTTAATTTTATTTTATTAAATTCACACTTGATCTCTCATCTTGAATCTAATAACTTACTTTCTGATTATCAATATGGATTTCGATTTTCTCGTTCTATGGTTGATTTGCTAACAGTAATAACCGATAGATTTTATTGTGAATTAGATAAAGGTGGAGAGGTTAAGGCCATCACTCTTGACGTTTCTAAAGTTTTTGATAAAGTTTGGCATGCTGTTCTTCTCCATAAGCTTTCTTCTTACGGTGTATCTGATAACATCTTTAAGATTATTGAATTCTTTTCCAATCGTAGTATAAAAGTTGTCCTCAATGGACAGTACTCTTCTTCATATTCTATAACTTCAGGGGTTCCGTAAGGTTCAATCCTTAGCCCTATACTCTTTTTAATTTGTATTAACGATCTTCCAGATATTCTCATATCTAAGGTGGCATTATTTACAAATGATACTACCATTTATTCTTGTCATGATAAGAAGCCAACACTCTGATTGCTTGGAGGGGGCATTTGAGCTTGAAAAGGATCTCACTTCTGTTACAACATGGGGCTTACAGTGGCTGGTGAACTTTAATTCAGATAAAACTCAATTTTTTTCAGCCAATTGTTATTGCAATAATTTAGACCTTCCTATATTTATGAACGTACATGATAGGTAATGTACTTGATAAGTCATCTACCCTTAATCTTCTAGGATTAATTCTTACTTCTGATCTTTCTTGGAAACCATATATCAAATCCGTGGCAAAATTATTATCTGCTATGATTATATCTCTTTATCAAGCTTGACACTTTCTTACTCCAGGTTCTATTCTCTATTTCTATAAATCTTAAATCTGTTCTTTATGGAATACTGTTGCCATATCTGGGGCCGATCTTCTAATGATACTCTTTCTCTTTTGGACAAGGTGTAAAACGCATTGCAAATATAGTTGGACCTGCTTTTACAGGTAACCTTTAACCATTATCACATCATCGTAATGTTGCTTCTCTTTCTATTTTCTACAAATATTATAATATATAGCGTCACTTGTGCTATCAACTAAAATTCATTTTTGTGTTACTTGTCATTCAATAAAGTCTCATCTTTTTTCTGTGACTGTTCCTAAGTGCTCCAAAAACTCTTATTCTTCTAGCTTTTTCCTCAAACATCATTTCTTTGAAATTTCCTTCATCTTGCTTTCCTGATTCATATAATTTGCAATCTTTTAAGTCGTCTGTCAATTGTTATCATGCTCTACAATCTTCATCTTTTCTTTTCCAATAACTTTTAACTATAATTAATGGTTGCTTGCAGCCTTGTTGGAAGCGAAGATGTATATAAAAAAAATGTAAAAATGTAAAAAATCTGGCAAATTTGGGAAAATCTGTTGGCAGGCTCATATTGTACAGAGGCAGATTGTGCCAACCCTATATATTACCCTTTATATTAGTTTACCCTACCCTAGATATTAAATTTTCTGAACAATGGCTTTAGATAAAAAGATTTTATTTCCTTTATTGGCTGTAACAGTTCTCTCAATTTGCATTATCCCCTTAATTTTTTTCTTTTTATTTATTTGTTTGTTTTTTATTAGTTTTAAATCTTTACTTTCTTATATTTACTAGATTTTTTTGCTTACGCTTTTATTAACCACTCTTTATATCTACAATTTGTTAAATACTTTCAATCTCGTGTAAATTTTTTTACTTTGGTTTAAAAATTTTTTTACTTTGGTTTACAGCATTAATTATTAATTTTTCTTTATTACTGTCTTCATGGTCAGTTTTTAAAAATATTCCTATTACAGAAGGATGAAATTTTAATTCAGTGATGTCTTTGACTACTTTTCAAATATGTTTCTTTCTCTTATTGCCAATTCATTTCATCTTTAACTTTTCAATAACAGGTGCAGTGTGTGAATTTTTTTGGCATGTAATGCATTTATTTAAGTCAAATTATATAAATTATAATTAAGTTTATTCAGTTATTTTTTTCTTCCACATTTTATTTTCCATATTTTATTATTAATAATTTTTTATTAAAGGTTATTTTAATAATGATTGTTATTTTTTTTTAATAAAAATTATTAAAAATATTGTTTTTATTATTATAGTTGCTACTGCTTATTATAGTTGTTATATATGTTTTTAAGATTTTTACCTTGTATTGTGATTTTAAATATTGTTACAACCTTTTTGAAAAATTTGATTGTTACAGTTTTGATTTGTTAACATTGTTTATGTCTAGCGGAAATATATTTACACAGAGAAAAAGAAAATTATGTAAAATAAATAGTGTGTTCAATTAAACCGGAAAACTTATTTATTTTAGTTTTTTCTTATTAAAACTTATTTATTTTAGTTAAACTTATTTATTTTAGTTAAACTTATTTATTTTATTTATTTTTTTTTTTTTTTCAGTAACTAGCAAATTCAATTCTTAGAATAGAAATTGTTACAAAAAAAATAACATATTAAGTTTAGAGCTAATATTTTTTGTAGATAAGTAGGTAGGCAGACTTGTTTAAACAAAATAAATATAGTAATACCGTACGGTCTAGGATTAAGTGGTCGGTGGTAACTTTTTAGGGTATTTTTAT